TGTTCCCAGGGTAAGGATGTCCTTCTCATTCCACCCTCTTTCCTGCACCCCTGTACCCCTTTCACCCCTTCCTCCCCTTTGCTTCGTCAGAGTTCCTCCAATATTCCCAGGCCTCCTCCACCCCCATTAGGGGTCAGAATCCACTTATCAGAGAGAACACTTGGCCTTTGGTTTTTGGCAATTGGTTACTTCACTTAGTGCGGTATTCTCCAACTCTATCCATTTACCTGCAAATGGCATAATTCTATTCTCATTTAATGCTGAGGAATATTCCATTGTGTATTTATACCATAGTTTCTTTATTCATTTATCTATTGAAGGACCCCTAGTTTGTTTCCACAGTTTAGCTATTATGAATTGAGCTGTTATAAACATTGGTGTGGCTGCTTTAATATAGTAGGCTGATTTTAAGTTTTTGAGTATAGAACAAGGAGTGGGATAATTGGGTCAAATGGTGGTTCCATTCCAAGATTTCTAAGGAATCTCCTACTGCTTTCTAGATCGGTTGTCCCAATCTGCAGTCTCACCTGCAGTGTATAAGAGTGCCTTTTTCCCCACATCCGCACCAACACTTATTGTTGTTTGTATTCTTGATAACTGCCATTCTGAAGGATGATTTATAATCAATCAACAAATATACGAAAAAATGTTCAACTTCTCTAGTAATTAGAGAAATGTAAATCAAAACTTCTCTAAGATTTCACCTCATGCCAGTCAGGTTTTTTTTTTTTTTTTTTGTACCAGGGATTGATGTCAGGGGCACTGAACCACTGAACCACATCCCCAGTCTTTTTTCTTTATTTTGAGGCAGAGACTTGTTAAGTTGCTTAGGGATTCACTGAGTTGTGGAGGCCAGGTTTGAACTTGTGATCCCCTTGCCTCAGTCTCCTGAGTTGCTGAAGATCATTGGCTCTTGATATAATTCAGTAGCAAATTTCAATTCATCTTCCTGTCATTTTCAGTCTCTTTTGATTAAAGACTAACTCTTCACAATTTGTGAATTTCTGTTATAATGTAAATTCTTTGCACCTTTTTAAATAGCAACTCGATCCTTCGCTAATCATCCCATTCAAATAGATACTCAAAAAAAAAAAAAAAAAAATGTGTAGACCCAAACATAACCCTTACAAGATATTTGGTCGTAGGAAATTCATCTTGTAAGATCTTTTAAAATGCATAAATGGAAGCCTATAATTAGGAGTAATTCAAGAATGGTTTGATCCAGTCACTTAAAAAATGTCATCACCTTATTTCTGTCTATGCCCTCTGCTTTCATTACTTTCAGCAATAGCCTAAGTTTCAAGCCTCAAGATCACAAATGGCTCTCAGATACACTCTCACACTTGTCTGTGCAACAAAAGAAAGGAATAGAGACATTCCAAAAGTTATTTTAAAACATCTTTCCCCAACTCTCAAAGGATATTTTATAGTGTCTCCTTTGCAGAAAACAGTCACAACACACTCTGAACCAATAATCAAATGAAATTATATGCCTTACTTTACCTTTGGCCTACATGGAAAAGCATTGGAGCAAGTGGTGGACTTTTCATTCTTCAACAAGCATGAATTTCGAGGTACTTGATTCCATGGTGACCATGAAGAGCTGGTTCACAAACTCCCCCTGGAGACCAAAATCTGCATATCCTCAATTCCTTGATATAAAATGGTGTTGTAATTGCAAGTAACCTATGAAAAGCTTCCTGTATCATTAAATCATCTCTAAATTGCTTATGATATCTAATATAACGGAAATGCTATACAAACAAATGTTATCCTATTTTCATTAGCAAATAATGAGGGAAAAATAAGACTGTTATGTGTTTAGTACATATGCAATGTTGTTGTTTTTTTAATATCTCTGATTCAAGTTTACTTGAACCCAAGGCTTAGGAGGGTTAATTATTTATGTTTGGTTAACTAAGTTGTTATAAATGTTTTAACTAGAAGGAGAGGTTAAAAAGGCCAGAACATCCTCCACTAGAGTTATCATGTATGTTTATTGATGCATTCCGTATCTACCTTGAAAAATCAGAAATATTGTAAATAACTTTAATAGACAAATGACTAAATAAATATGGTACATCCTTCAATGAAGTAAAGGAAAGCATTCTATTCATTTATTCAATCACTTACTCATATACTTGTTGAGGATTGGTGATACTTCTGGCTGTGTTCTATGCACTAAGAATACAACAGTGTATGTTTCACTAGAGAGTGTGCCAGATGTACCAGTGGGTAGTACCTCAACTTAGATTGCAGCATTCCTTGACATACATGATAGAAAAAAATCCAGTATGCATTAGAAATTGAGACTTTTATTAGAATTTTATTGAGAAATATAGAGAATCCATTCAAGGAAAAATGTAGGTTATCTTGAGAGTAAGATGCGCTTTTTGAATCTTGGATTCCTCTTTTAAAAGTAAATTTTGTAAGAGGTGGGCATGGGAAGGTATGTAAAGACGACATCAATATGGTGATCAGAAGCTGGTTTATACTGATTGATTATACTGAAGATCCTAATGTCAGTGTGTTCCACGCTATGTGATTAATAGATAATACTGAAAACTTTCCCTCTGTTATAGATTTCTGTATGTTTCTTTGTTTGACCAACTTTAAAAATAAATGCATTAGTGAACTCGTTAGTGCTACACAGAGTAATAAGTACAAGAGGGTGACTTTTCCGTGACTTTAAGATTCTAAAAGAAGATTGGTACATTCCCCAGAATTTGAAGAGTGGTAGATCTAGGAGAGAGAACTGACTTGGAAAGGAATTTAGTGCAAGGCTTTTCAATGAAAGTTATAGTTTCCTTTTTTCTTCCATTGGTCTCCTTTTTACCTATATTTTTAATTTGTTTTTGTCCAAAATCAAAATGAACAGTGCAAATCCTGTCTTACTAGCACATATATTCTGATTAAAAAACTAGAAAAAAATAAAATATGATGTGAATAGTTGTGTAAAGTAAAGGAAAGCAAAGAGGGAAGATGGCAGAATACATGGGTCACATCCATAGGGGATCTGTTGCATGAAGAAAGAGAAGAAGGGTTTAGGGTACCAAAAAGTCCTTAGGAAAAAGTACATATTTAAAACAACAAATTACCTAAGATTTTAGTCTGAAAATGGGGAAATCTGGCGAGCTGATCTATGACTTCACTCCAATTGATTTTCCTACTATGGAAAATGGTTCCTCCCAGGTGGGTCTATCACTTTGATTCCCATAACCTTCTGGAAAAATGAGGTTGTTTAACATTGATGCTGAGTCACATTTCATGTTTCACACAGGTGGATCCAAATTTAGATAGTGAGTTTCCAGTGAAATCACTTCCTGGCACTTGTGGCCATGTGTGTCAATGACAAGCTGGAGGTATAAATATCTGAGGATGAAAAGCCTTCGTCCCATTCCCACTCCTGACCTAGTGAGGAACCATGAAGACCTTCATCTTCCTTGCCATCCTGGGAGCTGCTGGTGAGTCTTTCTAATGAACCAATCCGTAGGTGTCTGTCCTCTATATAAATACAGACACTATCTAAAATGACTTAATAGAAAGTTTAGTTAGATCCAAGGGAAAAATTGGGAGAATCAAAGTACAATGTTCTAGGGATATTCTCAGTTGACTTCTGGAAGATTTTATTATTATCATGTTATCTAATTGAGACAACTATGCAAAAACCAACATCCTATTGACCAAATACACAATAGGGATATTACTGCAAAGATTTCTATCTATTTACATAAAACACATGATTTTATGACTTCAACCTTGGTGCTCAAACACTAATTGTGAAGAGTGACTAATCTCTCTTGAATTTCAACGTGACCCTAGGTGAAGCTGTGTTTTGGGGAGGGGGAGGTTGATCATTTATAAAAACACAGCACATCATGTTTAATGCATTTATGAAAACATACAGGCTTAACGATACTGAACAGTAGGGTGTGCCTAATGTATAGACAAATACAGATTTTTTTTACAAGT